ATATATAACATAATTTTGTGCGCTTTAAATTTATACAGTTAAAAAATACCTGCCACACTTGCAGCAGTGGTGTAGGTAACAATTACAACTCCCAGAAATATCAGTCTTTTTATTTAAGAATCTTTATATATTGTCTTGGGAAAGAGAAAATATACGTGGAAAATTTCTTACTGCAAATATAGACAAATATTAATCCTTATGCTAAACAATCAAGTAAAGGAACACTTTCTGTTGAAGTAGCAGTCAAACTATGCTCTGGAATTAGTCTCAAATTTGAAGAAAACGTGAGATCATCTTTCTTCTTCATGGAAAGGCTCTTCTTACACACTGTGGAGGATCTTTAGTTTAGATGGGGAGGAGACTTGCCCTGGGGTTAGGGAAACAGTTTGCATTCTGAGCTGGGTGTGTCTGTATAATATGACACATGAGAAAGAATATCATTATTACATAAGATAAACTATTTGTCACCAATTATTTTAGTCCCCAAATATTTACTGTAGATTCCTATGTACAAGGAACTAGTAGAGAAATCAAACTTGGCTAATCAAGAAAAAAAAAGATCCCTACTGCTCAAAAACTGTAGCAGAAAAGAGAGACAAATTTATGATTACAGTCTGCTTCTATCAGCGATATGACAGGAATGTGGACAGGATGAAATGAGAGGAAAGAATGGGCACTAAACAGTGACTCTCAGGAAGATACTGATGCTGAAATGAGTGTCTAAGATCAAGCACAAGTTATTCCTACTGAAAGGGCTCCTTCAGAGGGGAGCTAAGCCCACTTTGAGGCACACGCCTATGGGAATGTTGCTTGGGATGGACGTTAGCCGGAAGCTAGGAATGGCCCGTCAGAGATGACGTGTGGGGGAATGGAACACAGAGCAGAAGCTCCATTAATAAAGGCTTTAGGCTTTAGATTCTGTTTAACAGAAAAAGTTAAGCAGAGTAAAATTTCAGTTATCTTGAAATTTTAGATAAAGTATCCTGGCAACCCTGAAGTGGATGGCTGAAATAGGAACTAGGGAGGACAGACAGAAAGTTGTTTATAGGGCTATTGTGGCAACCCAGAAGGAAAAATGAGGACAACTGCAATAAAGTAAATAGCAATAAGAATAGAAAGCTGATACATGTTTTTTTTTTTAATAGTATGTTATGTTTCTTCTTTTGACATTCTGTTTGCAGGACCAAAATCTTTAGCTCCATCGCTTAGACATTGTGAAAACCTAAAACTGCCTTTCCCAGACTACAGAATGAATAGCTTCTTTACCCTTCTATGCCCAATAGAATGCAGATTCTAAGAGTGTGATAGTATTTACATTTCCTAATATAATACACCTGGCACCTGGCTTAAAATCTGGTACCTAATAGTCCCTCGATAAATATTTTGAAAAAATACAGAAAGTTTCATTCCATGTGGGAAGCAAGGCTTCAAACATTCTAGAATGGCTCCAAGATTTTTTGGCTTGGTTTCCTAAGTGTATGATGATTCCATTTACCAAGATGCTGAATGGAAAACATTTGAAGAAGCAAGTTTTTATGTGTCAATCCCACATTTACAAGTATTCACACTTGTATGTGTGAATACATACAAGAGGCAGTGTAGATATTTGTGTCAGCTCACAAGAAAGATACAGGTGGGTAAGGCAGACATTTAAAAGATTTCAGGGCAGAAGTAATGCCAAAAGATGTGGTGGGTAGTATCATGAGGCAAGAGAAAAGACTGAGGAGATACTCAAACTATGTTGTCCTACAGAGTATCACCCAACTAGGAAAAAAATAGCATTAAAGGCATCTATGAAGAAAAAAATACGTAAAGGAGAAAATGAAAGCATTCAGGTCAGAAAGAGATATTGTAGAGGTCACAGCATGGGATATTTCCATATTGGTGTAAGTAACAGTAATCAATTAATTAACATGGCCAAAGGAGCGTGGTCTGGAGGATGAATATTGAGTTGGACTCAAAACACATGGATTAAGAAACTCTTATTTAAGGAGAAATTTGATGCTAAGTCTGGAAAGCTGAATCATTTTAATTACAAGGAGATCTGAGTAAAATTTTGCTTTAGGAATTTTTATGACAATCCGAACCCAAACGTAGAGTGCTGTCTAATTTTGGTTCAACAATTGTTGTGCCTCGATGCTATTAGGTAAACCTTGTAGTAATGTTCTGCTCCATCGGCATCATAGCCCTTAGGAATATTCCATTATTTAGAGTGACGTTATGAAGAGATATTGTCAAATTATAATTCCCTTGCAGCAGTAAAGAAGTTTAGTTACATAGAGTTTCTCAGAAGCTCAGATTCTTGAGGATTTAATAATGACCTCATTCACAATTTTACTATGAATAATATCGAACAAAATGATTATAAATGCTTTTTTAAAAAATTGGACAGTAAAAACAAATTAAAAAAATAAAAATAAAAATAAAAATTGGACAATAAATAGAAGTGTTTAAATAGAATGGCTGAGTTAGACTATGCCATTTACTGATTGTTTATTGTTATGCAAATTTACTGACTAGACTCAGGGAATCACATTAACCAATCTAAAAGGACTAAATATATTGCATGGAAAGAATTTAGGTGATATTTATTTTCTTTGCTGATGGTCACATTTTTAGGGCCAATTTAGAGGATTCAGAAGTGAATAGAAAAGATGATGAGCTTA